AAAGGTTGCAGTCACTCACTGCTGACACTCATTCAGTTTGCTCATCACCCTGTTGTATTGGGGTGTCCCTGTTGGGGCCTGCAGCCCTTCAGCTTTCTCTGCTGCACACCTCTCATGCTGCTGCTTCATTCCATTCCCGAGTTATCCCTGTGTTATCACTGTGTTTGGAGTCTAATATTTTCCTCTGGCATGGTTTACATTTTCACTTTGCTGCAGTGCATACTTCAGCATCTTGTTCAGAAATTATGCAAGGTGGGGTAAATCATCTAGTCTCCGGTCTGCTTCCCATTCCTTTCAGTTGACTAAACATATATGACTAAAATTCTGGCTTCCAGAAAGTGTTCCCAGGGCCAGTGTTGGGGCAGAGCCACTCCAGGCACCTCTTGCATCGCTGGCATCTCGTGTCTGCGTGTCAGTTTGTGTACCAGTTAGTTCTGGTTCTGACTGAGCTCCCTGCCCATGTGCTGGCGAAAACAGTGGATGGTAATGAAAGTTCTTGGGCTTCTGTCGGGTGCCACACAGGCCGGGATGCTGTTCCTACTGTATTAGGGTGGTCATTTGAGGAGTGACCCAGTAGATGCAAGATCGTTCTGCCTCCACCTTTTTTTTTGTAACACTCTGCTTTTCAAATCAATAAAATACATCTAAAAAATGTCTTTCCCTCGGAGTTTGGAGTCAGTGCTCCATTGTCTTTTAGCATTCAGCATTGCTGGTGAGCAGGCAGTGTGTTTTGTTCTTCCAGAAGTGTTCAGGTTTTCTCCTTGGAAGCATTTAGGAGTCTTCCTGAAAATGCAACATTTTACCTTGAGGTATAGGTTTTTACCTACTATTTTTTTTTTTTTTTTTGCTAGATATTTGGTGGAATATTTCAGTCTGAAGACCTGTGTCATCTTCAATTTGCAGAAATGTTTGCTGTCATCTGTTTGATTTTTCTATTTTTGAGAAAGATTTGTTTATTTTTTAATGAACGGCAGATTTACAGAGAGAAGGAGAGACAGAGAGAAAGATCTTCCATCCATTAGTTCACTCCCCAAATGGTTACAGTGACCCAAGCTGAGCTGATCCAAAGTCAGGAGCCAGGAGCTTCTTCCACGTGCAGGGTGCAGGATGCGGGTCCCGAGGCTTTGGGCCATCCTCTACTGTTTTCCCAGGCTCAATCACGGAGCTGGAAGGATGTGGAGCAGTTGGGATATGAACCGGTGTCCATATGGGATCCTGGCGCGTGTACAGGGAGAATTAACCAATTGAACCATCATTCCAGGCTCTCTTCTCTATTTTATTCAAGTTTTCTACCCCTTTATCTTTTTGTTCTAAGTGTGTGGGGGTTTTTTATTGTTATTAAAATGTGTATCTCTTTATTTGAAAGGCAGAGTGCTGGAGAGAGGGAGAGACCGAGTTACTTTTACCGGTTCATTCCCCAAATGGCTACAGTGTCTAGGACTTGGTCAGACTGAAGCCAAAACTCCATCCACGAGTGGCAGGGCCAAGCACTTGGGCCAGCCTCTGTTGATTTACCCGGCACGTTAGCAGGAAGCTGGATGAGAAGTGGACCAGCCAGGGCTCGAACTCGCACTCTGACTATGGGGTGCCAATGTGGCAAGTGTTGAGATGTACTACAACACTATCCCGAAGTGCCTGGGTATGAACCCTGTCTTTCAGATCTATCTTGTTTTTAGTTTGAGTGACCACCTTTCTAATTCCCGTAAGGATCTTTCCTGTTCTTGGATTGTTTTTCCCCAGAGCATCTTAATTTTTTTTTAAAGATTTATTTATTTTTATTGGAAAGTCAGAAATACAGAGAGGAGGAGAGACAGAAAGGAAGATCTTCCATCTGATGATATACTCCTCAAGTGGCCACCAGGCCAGAGCTGAGATGATCTGAAGCCAGCAGCCCAGAGCCTCTTCTAGGTCTCCTGTGCAGGTACAGGGTCCCAAGGCTTTGGGCCGTCCTTGACTGCTTTCCCAGGCCACAAGCAAGGAGCTGGGTGGGAAATGGGGCAGCAAGGACACAAGCTGGCACCCATATAGTATCCTGGTACATGCAAGGCCACGTTAGCCACTAGGCTATTGTGCTGGGCCCCAGGGCATCTCATTTTACAGGTAGAATATTCTTGGTATCTCTGGAACCAGTCATTGTTTTCTTTAAAATTCTGCCCCTGTGTCCTGATTTACTTGTTTCTTCTAACCAGACTGCTCTGTTCCTGTTGTCCAGTGCTGTTGATCCTGGTCCCTGACGCACATTCCCCTTGTGGTGTGGTGTGTGCTGGTGGGGAGCTGTCTGAATCTGTGAGTGAGTGTGTGCTAGCCTACGGCTCTTTCCGGGGTACCAACCTCCACGCTGGCTTCCTGTAGGTAGGGGAGTACCCCAGGTTTCCGTTTCATTCCCTTTCACTCTGTATCATTTTCTCTACTTCCCAGGTTTCTGAAATTCATGGATAGTGGGATTCCACCATCCCACTCCTCTGTACCATGGGAATGTACTTCCTCTTTTCCTACCATGTTGATAGAATCTTGGCCAGGGTGGGGGAAGGGCAGGGAAGGGTGACAGGTGTTCTTACCATGGTTTTTTAAACAAAAAGACTCTAAAAATGATCTCTCCGTATTTTAAAATGACCACTGTAGAAAACTGAGAAAATATAAGCAATTAAACATAAACAACCCTCCTACCCCCTAGCAATATTTCGCTAACATTTAAAAATGTGTTCTGGTTTCTTTTTCTATGCATGAATCTGTTTTTTATATAACAGTGGGATCATACCATATGTTCTGCTTTCAATATGCATCTTAAAATCCCAACAATAGATTTCAAAGTCAGAGTTACAGAGAAAGAAAGGAGAGAGACAGAGATTTCTCTCCCCAAATGGCTGTAGCAGCCAGGACTCAGCCACACTCAAACCAAGAGCCAGAAACTTCATCTAGGTCTCCCACTTGCATGGCTGGGAGGAACCATTTCCCCCTGATTTTCCAGGTATGTTAGCAGGGAACTAGATAGGAAGTCTAGCAGTCAGAACCTGAACAGGGCCCCATGTGGGATACTGCCATTGTAAGTGGGAGCTTAACACACTGTGCCACAGCACTGCCCCAGCCCGACAATAGATTTTGAGTTTTTATATCACAGAATAGTCTAAAGATGTAATATTTGCTGAAAGATGGTATCATCACCGATTTTGCCAATCCTTGATTTTTTTAAAGACATTAAACTATGGGGTTGTTTTTGGTACCCTAAACAAGCATGTATAAAGTTGTTTGACTACTTTTACTCATGCCTGTAACTTTTTACTTTGGCTAGAATCTTGGCACTGGAACTGTTGGGTGACGTGTGTTCAGGCCCCCTCTCCGGCCAGTCCCTTGCTGGACTTGCTGACCCTAAGCTTGTGCCTCATCACACTCAGCTGGCATCCCTGTGCATCAGACAGGTTTCCCAGTTACCAAGATGACATTAAGCTGTTTTAGTTAACCTCCGTGAGCACTTTTCTCTAAAATGGCGTATAATTCTGCTTTCCCGCTATGGTGTTTGTGAAGTTTAAATAACATAAAAAGTGCACGTAAAGCACCTAACAGGGGTCCTGTCTGTTGAAAAGATCAACAGTGAATGATGATGGGTTGTAACGTTTTTGTGATCCTCATTCAAGGCTGTGTTTGAGACGTCCCCGGCTCTGGGAGACTGACTCCCTGTGCCGTTGGAGCACTTAGGGCTGGACCATCACTGTTATTCAGTGACACTCCCATGTACATTTGTTCTAAGTCTGTGTCTCCATCCATGGCCGGTTGCTGTTACATACCCTGGACTGGGTAAAACAAAGAAAAAAGCATTAATTCAGCTTACAGTTTTGGAGACTGGAGGGCCTGTCCATCAGCTCAGCTTCAGGGAGGCCCTCGTGGCGGATAGCATCACAGGCATGGACAGGCACGTAGGAGAGCGCATGGAAGGTGAGAAATGGGAGAGACCAGGAGAGGCTAGGCTTGTTCCTTTGCAGGGGCTCATGCAAGGACAGAGCCCCTGTTGACCTGAGGACCTCCTACGGAGCTCTGCTCTTGAGGGTCCCACTCGCTCTTCATTGTCACAGAACTGGGGCTCCCTCACAAAATCCAGGACACCTGCAGGACACACTCAAGCCATGTCAAACCCTAGCAGGAGGGAAGCAGACTGGGTTCCCTTCCGCATCTGACACTGTGCCAGTGGTCCAGCATCATCACAAAATAATCCACTTTCTTTCATGTCCTTGGGGAGAGGAGGTGGTGATGGCAAGGAGCATGCAATGCAATGTTCATAGCCTCAGGGTTATTTTTTAAAGAATATTTATTTTTTTGGAAAGGCAGAGACTAAGAAATAGACACAGAGACAGAAATCTCCTGCCCTATGATTTGCTTCCTAAATTTCTACAACAGACAGTGGTAGGCTAGGCTGAAACCTGGAGCTGAGAACTCAGCGTGGGTCTCCCAAAGTGTGGCAGGGACCTACATCCTTGAATTGTGACCTGCTGTCTCTCTTGGTGTACATTAGCAGGAAACTGGGATGTGGGATACAGACTTCCTACTCAGCACCTCTATCTCCATGCCCAATGTCTGTGCCAGGATTGGTTTTTTGGTTTCCTTGAAGTACTTGGGAGGGTGGTACATGACCCTGGACACCTGGACCCACAGCAGGGAAAACTGCTTGCTGGTCCTTTGGCAAATGCTGGGGCGTCTGTCAGCTGAGCAGGCTCAGGCTCAGCAGGCAGCATCGGGTTAGGATGTTGCCTGTGCGTGGTGCAGCCACACAGGATGATCAGATGTTCTTGTACCCTAAAGGGCTTCCCTTCTGAGCACCTCCCAGCCTACAAAGGTCCCTTTCATAGCCCCACGCATGCCTCCCCAGTTGCCAAGGGAGATTGAAACAGAGCTGAGGCTGGGGGAGGCTGGGACAAGGGAGTGCTTCCAAGGGGAGGGCCCTGAAGGAGGGGAGGGGGATTCCCAGAGCCGACCCAGTTTACCCCATCCCCCACCTGGGTGTCTTTCAGGAGTCATGGCCGGCTTCAACATGGGGGGCGACCTCAGGGATCCTGCTGGCAGCATCCCGCTCGGCTCACTGGCGGCTGTGGGCATCTCGTAAGTTCCGCCATGTAGCTGCAGAACGGGGGAGAAAAGCCCAGGGCAGAAGGGGCGAGAGGAATTGCCCCTTTTGTTCCCAGAGTGCCTGGACTGTGACCGGTCTGCTTCATACCCTGATCCTCCTTTTAGGGCTCAGTGGGCTGGAAAATTCCCGTCTGCTGCCTTCAGACACTGCCTTCTCATACATGGCCCCAGCTTGGAAGGCTGCCTGGAGGAGTGGCAGCAGTGCAGATCCCAGACCCTTGTCCCCTTCCCCGCTACAGCTTTGAACTTGGAGTATGTTTTTTTCTTTTTAAGTTATTGCGTTTCCAAGATCATTGGCAGGAATGTAAGGCTGAAGAGCTTTACCATGGGACGGACCCATGAGGGTTTGCATCCCGTGAAGCTCTCTGAGTTTCCATGTCCTTTTGTAGGAAAGTGAGGTGGGGATGTGCCTTGGCTGTTGTGTGTGAAGCCGTGGGGCAGGTGTCTTGCTCCCCCCACGCCAGCCTCCCTCCAACTCCCCAAGACTGTCAGCCTGCTGGGGTGTTAGTTCACCTGTGCCACTCCCACTCACAGGCTGGCTGGTTAGCCTTGGGTCTGTTTCTGGTCCTCTAGAATCTTCTGATCTCTCTGTGGCACAAGGAGTTTTACTGCCCCTGACTGGGAGGGCGGGAAAAGGCAATGTGAGATCCTAAACATGACGGGGGTTGGGAAGTATAAGAAGTTATTTTAACTGTTACATTGTTTAGGCATTTATCTATTCATGCTTGAAAAGTAGAGTGACACAGAGCTGGAGAGAGTCAGAGATTCCATCTTGTGGTTCACTTCCCAAGTGACTACAACAGGAAGTCCAGAATTCCATCTGGGTAGGACCGCGGGTACTGGGGTTATCTGTTGCTGCTGCTTTACCAGCTATGTTATTGGGGAGCTACCAGATGCAAAGCAGAGTGCCCAGACTTGTACTCGCATTTGGAATGTGGGCCTCGCAAGTGGCGATTTAGCCCACTGTGCCTCAACGCCAGCGCCAACTGTGGCAGTGTTCAGGGCATTAATATATCTCCATCATAGGTGCAGAGTCTGCTGTTGGTTTACTGCACAGCAAGTGTTGCAAGCAGCCAGCATTCACACCAGGCTGTTGTGTGCAAAATACAGCAATTGTAATGAAGGGAAGTGAAGACCGCAGAAGTTGCTGTTGAGTTTGCAGAGGAAAGAAAAGAAAGCAGCTTCTACATGGGAACTGTCTTGATTTTTTTTTTTGGTAATTGCTGGGAGTCTCTAGGAAGAACCTTTGCCACCCCCCATCCCCCAACTGCCACCAAGAAGGTCACAAGTGGTACCAAGGGTCAATGTGCTTGGTCAAGATTCCTGGGCATCCTGGGGACAGAGCCAGCCCACGGTGGCTTTTCACATTTTTGCTTTCCTTTCTGTTATCTAGAAGTAGAGGCCCACAAGGTCATTGACTTCTTTCTCTGCTCAGCAGAGGCTGCAGGTGAACCCTGCACAGCACAGAGGCAGCCTGGCCTCCTGTGTCCTCCACCCCTGACATGTTGTGTGTTTTTCCTTTTCTAATATAAGAAAGAAACAAAGCAGCATTGCGTTTCCTGCCCCCCTTTTTGGTATGAACTATGCTAAAAGAGAAATAGTAGAAAAAGCCCCCATCTACACCCCCAGGCCCAGGCCAGCTGGGATGAGCAGGCCTGGTGATTGGTCTTTCTCTTCCGTTTCAGGGCTTGTCCCCATGAAAAACTAGAGGTGATGTGGTGTGGGTTGGGATGGGCTTGGGTGGGGCCGTGGCAGCTCTGCTCTCCTCTTGCATCTTGCAGGTGGTTTCTGTATGTTGTCTTCGTCCTGCTGCTTGGCGCAGTCTGTACCCGCGAGGCTCTTCGCTATGACTTCCTGATAGCTGAAAAGGTACGTGAGTTCTGCGCTGCCCAAAAGGCTCACCCACTGGCTGGCTTGTCCGCTCCCATTGCTCTAAGGCTGCCTTCCCATTGCTGTCCATCTGGGAGTCCCTGTGTTTTGAGCTCAGGACTGAAGGAAAGCATGCAGCTTCTGTTTATAGCAGCCTAGGGACAGGTCCCAGTACCCAGGGAAACAGGCTAGAGCCTGAGGATGGCTCCATCATAGAAACCAGGATGTGGTCAACCAAATCCCCAGCTCACAAGCACTATGACTTTTGTGGGTTTTTGTTTCATCTTTTTTTTTTCTTTTTTTTTTTTTTTAAGATTTATTTCTTTATTTGAAAGGAAGAACCACAGAACAAGATGGAATAGGGAGAGAGATCTTCCATCTGCTGGTTTACTCCCCAAAGGCTACAATGGCCCTGGGCTGAGCTAAGCTGAAGTCAAGAATCAGAAACTCTGTCCAGGTCTCCCATGTGAGTTACAGGGGCTTAAACTCTTAGCCCCTCTTGCCTTTCTTTGCCGGGTACCTTAACAGGTAGCTGGACTGGATGTGGAACAGTCAGATTCAAACCAGTGCCCAGCGGGGACCAGCATCGCAGGCAGCAGCTTCATGTGCTGTGCCATTATGCTGACCCCAATGCCTTCGTTTGACCGATTTGTATACTTTCTGCCCAAGTCAGAAAGTACTGATCACAAGAAGCCAAGGAAAGAGGAGGCTGAGGACCCGTGAAGGGGGCGGGGGTGGGGGTGGAGCAGAGCCAGACAGAGGAGCCAAACACCAGGGTGAGGGCCTGGCAGAGAGCGCGCAGGAGAGGGGGCCTGCCCGTGCCTGACAGCCCTGACCTCTCTGGCCTCCCTAAGAATCCCAAGGACGAGCTGTAGCACCTTTGTTCTGGGACGCGCATCCTGCAGGGGGAGGATAAGTGAAGTCTTTGTGTTCTCTGGCCCCCCCTGAGCGGGCTGGAGGTCAGTGATGGCGAGGACATTGATTTGGCATTGCTTGAAGCTCCAGGAATAACATTTCCAAGTGTTTTTCTGGAAATCCCCAAAAACTCCTTCCCTTAGGTTCCTGGAGGAAAACTAGCCTTGAAATTCCCATCAGAGAAGAGGAATCCCCTCCCCAGCCAACTACAGGTCTCTGGTGGGCGCCAGGGAGCCCCCTGCCCTGCCACCATCTGCCAGGGCTGCAGCTGAGCCTTGCTGCCTGTGCTTTAGAGGACAGTGCAGTGTTGAGCTGGGGTTAGGCTGTACAGAGCAGGAAAATATGGGGCAGGACACTTGGAATGGATTTTTTTTTAAAGATTTTATTATTTTTATTGAAAGGCAGATATACAGAGAGGAGAGACAGAGAGGAAGATCCTCCGTCCGATGATTCACTCCCCAAGTGAGCGCAACGGTCGATGCTATGCCGATCCGAAGCCAGGAGCCTCTTCCCGAAGCCAGGAGCCTCTTCCGGGTCTCCCACGCAGGTGCAGGGTCCCAAAGCCTTGGGCTGTCCTCGACTGCTTTCCTGGGCCACAGGCAGGGAGCTGGAAGGGAAGCGGGGCTGCCGGGATAGAACCGGCACCCATATGGGATCCCGGGCGTGCAAGGCGAGGACCTTAACCACTGCGCCACCGCGCCGGGCCCGGAATTGATTTTTTAAAATTATTTTTATCTAACTGCCTCTATTCATTTGAAAGAGAGGAAGAGATTTTTCTGACTGCTGGTTCACTCCCCAAATGTCAGCAACAGTGAGGACCGGGCCAGGCTCCTTCTAAACCAGGAGTCGAACTCCATCCAGGTTGTCCCATGCAGGTGGCAGGGGCCTAAGCCCTAGATTCGTCATCCACCTGGCAGGTTGCACATTAGCAGAAAGCTGGAATCTGGAGAGTGGTGCCAGGACTCAAACCAGCACTCACTGGATATGAGATACAGGTGTCTGCAGCAATTGCCCCTGTCTGAATTCACTTTTAAGAAATACATTTGGGGTACAGCGTGGTAGCCTGGTGGCTAAAGTGCTTGCCTTATATGCGCCAGGATCACAAATGGGCACCAGTTCATCTCCCAGTGGCCCCACTTCCCAGCTAGCTCCCTGCTTGTAGCCTGGGAAAACAGTAGAGGATGGCTCAAAGCCTTGGGACCCTGCATCCGTGTGGGAGACCTGGAAGAAGCTCCTGGCTCCTGGCTTCAGATCGGCTCAGCTCTGGCCGTTGCAGCCACTTGGGGAGCAAATCATTGAACAGATCTGTCTTTCCTCCTCTCTAAAATCTGACTTTCCAATAAAAAAAAAATACATTTGAACATGGTTTTCACATTAACAATGCAAGACTCCTTTTAAGCCATGTAGACACCCATGTAAAAGTGATGTTTGCTTTTCAAGCGTCATGGCAGCAGCTTGAAAGCAGGCTTTGATAAGGGGGAGCTGGCGGGTTGTCCCAGAGCTGACCCCAGGTGGTGAGGCTTGCTCTGCAGGAAGAAATCCATTTCCGTGTTTGTATCCACATGCGCACTTCTGTCTGGAGTTTCATCTCCCCTCGGGCCTTTTCTCCAATTGTAGAATGAAAAGCTTAACTGCATTAGAAGAATCAGAGGCCTCCAAGGGCCGCTGAAGTGAGAAGGATCGTTTGACTAGGAAGAACTGATGGCAATTTGTTCTCAGCTCGCCCGCGGCTGGCTGGCTCCATCTTCTGAAACTGCTGCCTTCGGAGCAGCTTCCTTCCGTGAGGTCCTTTCAAAGCATCAGCGATCCTGGTCTGCATGGAAGGTCCCCAGAGCTCCTCTCTCCTCTCCTCCCCTTCATGGGCGACCTTCCGAATGGAACTGTAGGAAGGCAGGCATCCTTGTGTCCAGAGAAGGCCAGGGGCATCTCTGAGGTGGCCCAGCAGAGTCCCCAAGGGTGAAACCCAGAACCTGGACACGGGAATGCTGCCTACCCCAAACAAGAGATAGCAGGCCCGCCCTTGGCCAGTTGGAGGCATTTGTCCAGTCAGACCCATCCGTAGTGTGTGGACACGCATACACACACCAGGATAAAAGATGGAGGTTTAATTTAGGGGGAGGATGATGTCATTTCCTTGAAATAAATGACTAGGAAGTCTACTAGCAAGCTACTAGTCTGAGCTTCCAGTGGCAAACAAGGGCGGGGACAGCAAGTGAAGGAACCAATCACGGTAGGACCCAAAATAGCAGCGTCTTCATGTCTAGTGTCCCTCCCGCTACAAACTCCTCCATAACAGGATCTCCAGAAAACACCTTTCCTCCAGAACTTTTCTTCTTTTCTCACTATCCTAAATGTCCCTTCTTGGTTCTGCCTTGGCAGCAGGAGCAGAAATTATACTTAGTCAATTGGGCCATGGGCAACTTGACTAACAGGGCCCAGAGAACGAGGAGGCTGCAACAGAGAGAAGTGGAGTGCCAGGCCAAAATTCCTGCCTGGCCACTGGACCCAGTCTACCATCCTGGTATGGGTTTCACAAGCCATGCAGCTAGGCCTCAGTTCTGGGTCCCTCATGGACCTTTCCCGGGGTCCTGAAGAAACCAGCTGCATCTGTTTTGGGGCTGTGAGTTTTGCCATGGGACACAGAGCGGCCTCTCCCCTGACTGCCCCCTGAGTGCTGGCTCCCACACCTCTCTCTCTCTCCCCGGGCCTTTCTGCCGGACCACTCTTGGATGACTGCAGGCCGCCCTGCCCTGCTTTCTCCTGATGGCCAGCTGCTCCATCTCCAGGTCTCCTGCAGCTTCTCTAGTCTGGTTCTGTCCTTTCCCAGTTCTTGAGTGTTGGTCTCAGCAATGTTCTGCTTTTTTTTTTTTTTAAAAAAAAGGTTTATTTATTTTTATTTATTGCAAAGTCAGGTATACAGAGAGGAGAGACAGAGAGGAAGATCCTCCATCCGATGATTCATTCCCAAGTGACTGCTATGACCAGTGGCGTGCTGATCCGAACCCAGGAGCCAGGAGCTCTTCCAGGTTTCCTATGTGGGTGCAGGGTCCCAAGGCTCTGGGCCATCCTCGACCACTCTCCCAGGCCACAAGCAGGGAGCTGGATGGGAATTGGAGCTGCTGGGACTACAACCAGCACCCATATGGGATCCTGGCATGTTCAAAGTAACGACTTTAGCTGCTAGGCCACAGCACCGGGCCCATGTTCTGCTTTCTTAAACCATTTTTTTAGTAGACTGTAAGAGCCCTGAGAGACCTGTGTACACACACTATTTGTCACACAGTAGGTGTTTACTGTGTTTCAGCTCCTCTCCATACTCTTAATGGCGGCACATTGACAGATGTTTCTTTTACGGACACTTTTGGTTGCATGAATCTGCCATGTTTAATTTACTTAAAAAAGCCAACATTTTATCTCAATATTATTCAGTGATAGAGACATGAATTGTGTGAAGAATAGTTTCCCTAGAGATGAAATTAAGTAGGTTAAATATCTTAAGATATAATTGCATACATGAAAAAGATGATCAAAAAGATCAATTGCCTTGGAAGCCATGAAGCTTGCATAGTAGCAAAATAAGAACAAACTAAGTAGGAAAGGACCCCCAGAGTCTGAAGGGTACTCTGAAAAGGTCACAGACAATGGATCATGAAATCCATGCATGGGTTCTTAAAGGTTTATGGAACACTTACATATATCCTGAGAAAATATGTGTACACTTACATTTTGATTTTTAAGATTCATTTATTTGAAAGACAGCGTTACAGAGAGGCAGGGGAGAGATAGAGATCTTCCGTGTGATGGTTCATTCCCCAAATGACTGTGACAGCCAAAGCTGTGCCAGTCCAAAGCCAGCCTTAAGTTTCTTCTGTGTCTCCCACATGGGTGCTGGAGCCGAAGGACGTGGGCCATCTGCTGCTGCTTCCCCAGGTGCATTAGCAGGGAGCTGGATGGGAAGTGGAGCAGCTGGGACTTGAACAGGTGCCCATGTGGGTTGCTAGTGTTGCAGTGGTGACCCAATCAGCTGCACTACAACACTAGCCCCAAAAAGATAGTCATTTTTTTTTTTGTGATGGAACACATAG